ATTCCCTTCAAGGCTCAGGGGTCCAAGATTATCTTCTGTGTCTGTGTTAATTGGTTTCCCTTTTCTTTGTTGAAGAGGGTCTGTGCAGTCCTTCTGCCCAGTCTGCCATCTTTCCGGGTATCTCTTTCCTCTTTTTTGATGTATGCATGTATTGGTATAAACTCTCCTCTGAGTATTGCTTTCTCTGTGCCCCATAGATTTTGGTATGATATATCTTCATTCTCATTTGTTTCTACAATTTTTTTTTATTTCAGTTTTTATTTGTTCTATTACCCAGTAGTTTTTGAGCAGTGAATTGTTCACCTTCCACATGTTTGATGTTTTTTCCTTCCTCTTCCTAGTTTTAATTTCTAATTTTATAGCATTGTGATCTGAGAAGATGCTTTGTGGTATTTCAATGCTTTTGAATGTATTGAAGCTTGTTTTATGTCCTAACATATGGATTATTCTGGAGAAGGGTCCATGTGCATTGTAGAAGAATGTGAATTGTGCTTTTGTTGGGTGGAATGCTCTGTATGTGTCTATGGGCTCGAGTTGGTTGATTGTATTGTTGAGTTCTTCTGTATCTTTGTTGATTTTTTTTCTAGTTGACCTGTCCCTCTTCGGAAGTGATGTGTTAAAGTCTCCTACTACTAGTGTAGAGTTGTCTCTTGTCCCTTTTAATTCACTTAATGTTTACTTCATGAATTTTGGAGCATTTTCATTAGAGCACTAAAATTTATTATTGTAACATCTTCTTTGTCAATTGACCCTTTCAGCATCATATAATATTCTTCTTTGTCTCTTATGATGTTTTTCACCTTAATGTCTTTTTTTATCAGAAATTAATATTGCCACTCGTAGTCTTTTTTTGTTACCATTGGCTTTGTATATTTTTTTCCACCCCTTAACTCTTAATTTGTTTTTATCTTTGTGTCTAAGGTGGGTCTCTCTCTCTCTCTAATATATGTGCTTTTTTTTTTGTATTGTGATTTAGGTGAAAATTTACAGTGCAAATTCACTTTCCATACAGCAGTTCACATACACTTTGTCTCATGACGTTGACTACAATTTACCACAGAGCAACAGCTCCTCTCCACTTCCTCCTGATAGTTAACTCTTCCCTGTGTCCTAACTCCATGCACTCCTGCCCCCTGAGCTGTCTCCCTGTGCATAAACAGCCCTTCTTTCTCCCATTATTATTCTCTGCAAGGAATGTATCTACGTCAGGTAAATGTTCAACTCATATTCCTGCCTTTTGTTTGGCTGGAAGCCATTGGTGTGGGTTCAATTCCAGACCTGAAGGGCCACTGGAGGCCATAGTCTCAGTGGTTCCACCAGGCTCTATCAGACCAGCAAACCTGGTCCCCTCCTTTTTTTCCCAAATGATTTTGAATGTGCTCTACATTGTTTGCCCACTCTATCCAGGATCTCCTACATAGATTCCCTTCCCAGTGGTTGACAGTGGTAGCCCGACACCATCTAGTTCTTCTGGTCTCATAGTCATATAGTCTTTGGATCACATGGTGTACCAGTTGCAAAGTTGCAAGGATTAATTGTTTCCATGAATCTTTGGTTTTCTTCATTCTTCTTTGCTCTGGATGAGGAGAGAC